AGAAGAGGAAAGAGAGATATGACTCGGAGATAATATGATATAGAGGTGAGAGAATAAAGAATAGAAAGAGATGAACGATATCATTATCGTTACAACAGTGATTTGTCTTTTCTATCGAATTTGTTAAAACAATTCCGAAAAACGCATTTGTGTTTCCATGTAGAGTTTGTCCAGTCTTTGCATTTCGATAACTTGAGATTTGCTGCGTTTGATCGCTAAGACTTTGTAATCAAAGTGTCGTAAAATAATTAAATCGTCCAAACGCTTCACTCTCGATAATGGTACATAGACTGCAGCGATGTCATCTGTATCGTTTGGTAACTTCAAATTAATTACCACTTTGTTCAAAGTTTGTCCTTGACTTTTGTGAGTTGTGATAGAATAGGCGGGTACAAGAGGTAACGCGCGTCGTTTAATCGATAGCATTGCCTTTCTGTTCGTTTTTGATTTGTTGTTGACTTTCGGAAGAATATCCGAAATGTCTACCTGAAAGGTTTGTTCCATTATTGGTATTGGAATGAGTTTTGGTTGCAGCTTTTCAAGATTGTACTCAATTTTGGATTCGCTTATTTCGACCAATGCCTATATTGGCTTGTGCACATATGTAGTGTTCATTGGAAACGTTTTTGACAGACTATCTGTTGACACTGAGTCAAGATCATAGACTAGTTGTCTAAAGATTCCATTCATGCCGTTAATTAGTCCGAGTTCAATAGCAATATTTTGTGTAATAATAACCAGCATTCCAGGAACTAACGGTAACAAACCCGGTAAGTAGGGGTGGACCATTTAATTTAATTCTACTTAATTAACGGTTAACGGGTTGCACTTAACCGTTAATTTCCACTTAATTAACTGATAAACGGCTAAACAATCATAATGTATGATCCTTTCTGACAACTAATTATCTATACGACCCAGCAATAATTACATGTACTCTGGTAAGATACTCATCTCTCAGGTTAATGCTACCGTGGGAACCAGTCTTGGAACAAGCCTTTATTCCAAGATGCATTCCCGCGAATTCTGATTGGTCGATTTCGGCCGATCAGCGATGACCGCGATTTTTTTTCAAAAACTTATTTTCGCTGGAAATCGACTACGGAGGCCTTTTGTAAGGATGTTTCTTTGACCTCGGATTGTATTTGGCCTCCAGAGATCGGTATTGGTTGTTAATTTTCTTACAGGTCGGCAGCGTTTTACTCCGGCTACGCGATATTAACCATGGGCCTTTGAGTTTTCGTTTATGAATCTATATTTGCAGAGTCAGGATGGATCTACAATGGCCCCTGAAGTAATAGAAGATCTTTCTTATACGTTAATCGCTTAATAGAGTGGAAATTAACGGTTAAGTATAACCCGTTAACGTTAATATTAACGGTTAACGGGTTACTGTTTACGTTAATTTCAAATTAACGGAAATGGTCCGCCCCTAGTCTGAAGTTTAAGTTTTGTACAAAATATATTTTTCGTGATCGAATCTTAGAGGTAGAAAAAGTCGAAAACAATACACCTCTAAAAAAGTGCTTGCAACTTCGCTTTATAACTTTTATTGAGAGATACTACACGGTCAAGACATTCTACCTTTTCCAGCGATGAAAGTGCACTTTGAATGTTTTTTTCTGCCAAGTCTCTATGAGATGACATCATTGAAGGAAATGACGTTCGAAAAATCCAGTTCATGTATGATTGGAAGTGGTTTTTGAAGCATATTTTTTCAGATCGCTATATCTTCTAAAAAACTGTATTTTAGCAAAACTTCAATTTCTAAAATGTGTTGATGGCAATGTCAATAGTTACGGTAAATGGTTTCCCCACGGGTCACGTAGATAGAGCTTTTGATGCACTATAACATGGTGTAGTTTTTTACTGAAAACTGGGTCTACATAGGGGAAAACAAATTAGAAATAAAAACTTGTAAGATCGAAAAATGTTGCAAAACCCTTTTTAGAGGTGTATTGTTTTCGACTTTTTCTACCTCTAAGATTCGATCACGAAAAATATATTTTGTACAAAACTTAAACTTCAGACTTTACTCTTTCGAGCAAAAAAACATTTAACTAGTTTAGAAGTTCGCAAAGTGATTTAATACACTCAAACATTTGTGCAAAGACTTTTGCATCGCATGTTATAACAAATGATTCTTCTCTTTCTTTCATTCTTCCGCTCATCACAGCATGCGCATTATATCTTGATTGATTATTCTTTTTTTTCTCTTCTCCATCTCTCTCTTCGCGTTTGAAGATAGAAGAATTTTCATATGAAAAAAAAGTGTGACTATAAGAGAGATCAATTGCAACAAATCATCATACTACCATGTGAATTTGTTTCTAGATTTCGGTTGATGCGTAATTCATTCAATTCTGTCTGCAAGTATCGCTCAACTTGAATTAAATAAAGTCCTTGGAATCTGTGTGTCGTATAATGATCGTCCCAATTCATTCGATAGGAAGCAACTTGCGCTCCAGATAACTCTTGTTGAAACGCAAGTGTATTATAGCAATGTAAAACGAATTTACGTGATCTTTTGATAGCATTGTCTGTATTATCCACTTGATTTGATATGTTTCCGAATGATGCAACATTTTTTTGAATAAGAGAAAATGTGTCGTGGAAAGAAAGACTGGATTTTGTCACATAATCTGTAATATAATAGACAAGAGCTTTGGCATCGCTGCCTGTCCAAATAAACTTGATGTCCATGTTAAAACGACATGTTGATATGATATATTCATTATAGTTATTAATCATCGGATGCGATCGTCACATACGTATGTCCCCAGTCTCGGGATCGATTATCGACTTTGGCACTAATTTGCGTGGCAAACGCATTAGACAAACTCGTTTGCCGTTATAGATAAGATCACTGTATTTGTAACATGTATTAGTGTGAATGTGAGTGTTCTGTGCTTCAGCTAGTAGTACTACATCAGCACGAAATCTCGATTTGAAATTAGAGGACGATGGATTTGGAGTAGGTAAGCAGGCTGGAAATATTATTGGTTGAGTACCTTCAACATTCATTCCTAGAATAATGATGCATATTTATTTTTTTATCAAAAAGTGATTAAATAATCGTACCAAGTATTGATCGATCCGATGTTGGCGTTTGTAATAGTTCGTGGTAGAGAGGAGATGCATACGGTATCGACAGCGACCGGTACGAGGTTGATGGAGATCCACCGAACATCACTGGTGATGCATATGGAATTGATGGAGATGATTTTTCTTTCACCGGCGTTGACCAAACAGTAGAAGGATTAGAATGATCTGCGTTTCGTTCAGAATTTATAAACTCCACATTGCGCAAAACTGCATAAATACTATCCGTTGCTGGTTGTAGTGAATGACTCGATAACGATGAAGCTAGAAAACAAAGAAGAACGACTCTGAAAATAAAAGAAAGGATGAAGTGTTATCACTGAATTCGTCTTGAATCTCTATGTCTTTGAAATTATCAAGGTCTTCTTTGATTATATCTTCCAAGTATGCTATGAGTCTTTCATGAAAATTTGAGTCTTGAACTTTTTCCTGCATGTCAGATGGTTTGATGTTGATATCAAGCCAGATGAGAGGGGTCCACGAAAAATTAGTTTTATCCCGGTGTATTTTATATTCAATCTATAAAATCCTTTAGGCCCTTTGCTCCTTTTAGTCCCTTTAATCCAGTGAACCCTCACCCTCATCTACACCTTTCACTCAGACCCACACTAGCCATCTGCCTCATTCTCACACTCTAAGAATACTAAAGGGACTAAAGAACTAAAAAACTTCATAAATTATCTATAAAGTTACACCAGGATAAAAATAATTTTTCGTGGACCTATGGAGTACACCGCCAATAATCATTGTATCTAAGATATTGGAAATTAACGTATGAAAGAACTTAGCTGTCGTAACAGGATGATCGACGAAATATTATAAACCGGCCAGTTTTTGGCGAGAATGGTGGAATGGATGACGTCGTGCAAATATCGCTTTACGATAGCTTGTCTCCGTTATAGATGGTTTTGGTGAGGGTAAAGCTTTTCTGAACTGATTACGGTCAAATACAATTAATTGGAGACTCAGTCGATAAAAACGATATCTTGGTGGTATGTTGTGAAAAAATGGGAGCCAGTAGACGACTGATGGTGATCGGGAAGCGAGCAAAAAGAAAGTACTTCTTGTTCATTAGGATTTAAAGATCAAGAATGAACTTGGAACTCCTCTTAAAATTGAATAGTTGATTCACATCATATTCATTTCTACAAGTTCTCATGAAGGTCTTTCGGTTTGACCAAAATGATTCCAGTTCGTTGTCTCTTCTTCAACTACCAGTAGCAAAGGCTCACGAAACAAAGAAGAGATCGCTTTAAGACTTTATTGAAATAATGAGTTTCATACGATTTCAAACAGAAAGACTACAGAGAAACAGTCATGCGTAAATCGCCTTGGCATTGTTCATTGGATACGTGATGCTCATTACATGACCTAGTCCGCGATACGTTCCTTGTAACCATGCTTGGAAAACTGCCAGTCCATTGTATGTTTGAAAACCTTTCTTGAATAGCCTGAAGGTAGGATATACTTTTTGCCGTGAGATCAAACGATCATAGACCACATTTACTAGTGGTTGTCTCGTCTCTGCTAGTGAAAGATCTAGGAAAAAAGAAAAGAAAATAGTGGTGCGTTCCAGAATTGACTTGCTTGCCAAATAAAACATCGCATCAAGAACATTTGCTTTGTCGTCGTTCTGAAGCCCATTTGTAAACACGAATTCGTAGACAACCATGTGTTCGAATTCTACCAAGTGGCAACAGTAAATGAGAGGTAATATAATTAAAAAAAACAACTTTGGTTTGAAGGCTGCATAGGTAAATTAAGAAAAATGAATATTCCAAAAGATTACTTATCTTGGATATACACATGGTTAACAAAACGTAGAGCATGCATTTAGATCGAAGGCATTAGATCCCGCTGGTTTAATATCTATAAAGGTTGTTCTCAAGGATCTATCTTCTCGCCGACTCTATTTATTGCATATCACGCTGATATGGGCGATTTCTTAGGTGGCTGTCTAAGTCATTTCTTTGCAGATGACCTAGCCGCAATTGTAGCAGGTAGTATTGGTATGAAATATGCGCAACAATGTATCGATCTCGAAAGAAAGCTCCAAAAGTTCCTCGATAATCTTGAATATTATCGTGTTCTAACGTCACAGCTAATTAATTTTGCAAAAACGGAGGGTTTATGGTCAACGAGAGCAGTCGGGGAACCTAAGTTTGAAATATCTTCATCTAATGGAGCAGTTCAATGAAGTAAGAAATTCAAGTACTTAGGTCACTGAATCACTCCGAAGTTAGGATTCGGAACAATGATCGAGAATGCTAAGATTAAGATTAGGCAAAAAGTAGGAGCGATAAACGCAATCCGCATTGACGATACAACATCGCTACAATTTAGAAAAACGCTTTTCCTCACGTTCGTTCTTCCTCTTTTCACAGAAAAACAGCAACAAGATCTTGCGCACTTCTATTTTACTTGTTTAAAAAGAGTAATGTTCTCCATGCAATGGAATGATAACATGTTCGCCTACATATCGAACGAAATATCTCTTGTAGATAGATGTAAAAAATATTGGGAGAAATATTTTATAGCTCTTTCTGAAAGTAAAGATGGCGAGCTTACTCCTCGAACAAGCGAACGTCAACACATCTCGCGAAATGTGGAGAAATAAAGAAATGAAAATAACACGAATCTTCATGTCCAAAACATTTGCGTAACATGCATCCGTGATCGAAAAAGTAGCGCGATGGTGCCACGAGACACCAATGTATAGCTCGCTACTAAACTATGATATCGAGGATATTACAACACTAGTTGATTTCCCTGGAACGTTCTAGCAATCCTTCTTCTTACTCTTTTCGTTATCCGCCTCACTCCCTTCTGTTCTGCCTGCCCTTTCTGTTCCTCCTTTTTTTTTGTATATTAATCACTAATCTCAATCATTTCTCACATGTTCATGGTAGGAGGAGTACAGTGGCACTAAGTTTTATCTCTGTTCATTCTTCCCGTCCTTATCTCTTAAATCTTTCTTCACCTCTGAGGAGGAGTCCTTTTCTCCCCAGGTCATTTCCACTCGGTCGGAACCGGCCGGTTCCTCATGTTTCTTTGCCGCCGGAATCCGGCCGGTTTTCTACAGGTTTTTACCGGCGAATTCCTACTGGATCCAGACAGAAACGACGACAATTGAGAACGAGCTGGACCCGGTCACCATCAGGAACCAGCTGAATCCGGTGACCGTCAAAAACCACTTGAATCCGGTGACAATCGACAATCAGCTGGATCCGGTGACCATCGGAAACCAGCTGAATCCGGCGATAATCGGCACTCAGCTGGATCCGGTGACCNCCGCGACCTTGACTTTCAACAGTGCCAAAGTAAGCTTTTACACGACCGAGTACACCGCCAATAATCATTGTATCTAAGATATTGGAAATCAACGTATGAAAGAATTTAGCTGTCGCAACAGGATGAGAAGCTATGATTTCGGCACGTTTGTATGTATCCATAAGTTGTTCTGCTTGAACAGTGTCTAGATCAAGTTTGACGCCGGCAAAATATAATGCGACGGGACTATGAATATCAGCCGGATTGAGAGTTAAGAAAATACTTGGTAGTCCTTGGTTGAAAATTAATGCATGGATATGTGTGCGTAATGCTGTACGTGAATGTGCTGAGCCCATGACGCGACCACCGATTGTTTTGATATGATTTAATACCCATGTCATTTCCGCTCGGTCGGAACCGGCCGGTTCCTCATGTTTCTTTGCCGCCGGAATCCGGTCGGATTTCTACAGGATTTTACCGGCAAATTCCTACTGGATCCAGACAGAAACGGCGACAATTGAGAACGAGCTGGACCCGGTCACCATCAGGAACCAGCTGAATCTGGTGACCATCGGAAACCAGCTGAATCCGGTGATAATCGGGAATTACCTAGATTCAGTTGGGAAAACACTACTGCGACCATTTATTTCTGCGATAACTTGGATTCTATCTAGCTCGTCCGACAGCTTCAACATCTCTTTTCGCTTGTTTTCAGCCTAGATCTATTAGACGTTGCAAGAATCGCTCTCAAACGAATCAACCGTACTCACCAACCTATCAAATTCACAGTAACAATGGATTTTCGTCCGAAAACGTGAAAGCGTAAGTAATTTTGTACGTACCATTACTTCCTGCAAAGCATAACGTGAACCGCAAACATGATGTGGTTTTATTTCTTTCTCCATGAATATCTGTACGCGCGACGCGTCTGACTGACTTTTTTCTTCACATCGCTCTATTTTTTCCTTTCTAATGTATTGTTATCATTTCGAACGGACAGCACAGTTCCATGAACAAAAAACGGTGGCACCTATATCTACTGAATTTTGCATTCGAATATGCCATTTTCATCCATTTCAAATTATTATCCAACCCTTATTTATGAGTTATTGCGTACTCGTTTTCACATATAAAATTCTTTATGATACACCACTCACAAGAGCACGTTCTGCTTTGCATAATATCTACCTTAGACAGTAGATTGTCTTCAGCTGTAGATTCAAAAAAGAGCGCTCGCTGTGTATCTGCAGAGGAACTCGATCCAGAACACGCCCAAAGCGAATCTTGTCCGAAATGCATCAGTAATGTCTTTACGTGCATATACCAATCGAAGCACGATAACACACTACACAATTTCGTCTGATCAAAAAGTACTTCCCAGCTAAATAAGACTTGTACATATAGAAAGTGATGGAAGTACTTCGAAATCATCGGCGATTCCGTGTACTCATTCATGATATCATGAAATTTGGACGAAACTAACATCGGTTTATTACTCTCGGGTAAGATTCGGCAGAATATATGCCAAACTATTGCTGGCTTTGTATATTAGTCAGAGGATTGAAGAATGTACACTAAACTATGACGAGTTCTCTATGCCTCTGATTAGTTCAGTATAACCTTTGGAAAATCATTATCTATTCCGTCGAATGAATGAAGGCTTGGCAGTATCGGTACCAAACTATCCCTACTTTCCTATAGCAGCTCAAGGTTTCCCATCATTTGCTCGTATATAGAAACATATTTTTGTACTGTCCAGTAGTTACGTATAAGTTCCGCAAAACAATGAATGATCTCATAATTATTGCTCCTGTTCGGCGAACCCCCTACCAAACCATTGATGTCTGCCGTTGGTGGAGTTAGGAAAATGAGAAGACTGATTGAAAGAAATAGCCCTTTACACCAGCCGACGTCCACTTTTCAATAGACCGTCCGATGAGACCCTATAAATATCCATCCAATTTTCATTTTCTATTTATTTCTAGTTTTTCTCACTAATCGTCACTATATCGACGCAAATCTATGGACGGAAAATTCTCAATAGCCTGGCATGCAACTAGGTAGGTGATAATATTTCATTAACCACATTCTATTGTCTTTCTCGCTTAGAGTTGATCGCAATGGATCTACTGGACTGGCTAGAACCTACTCTCACGTTCGTGTCACGATGAAAGGGTGGGTGAAGGTGTGTGGACGTTCGAAAGGGGTGAACTACGTTTCGTACCACTCATTCCGAACACCCGCACCCTCACCCACACTTTCTGTCTTTTGAAGAAAAAAGTTTCGTAGTAAGCCTTTGCTGCGGAACCTTTGTTCTCAATTTTTCCTGTAAGGCTCTCTTCGGAACCTTCATTTTACTCAGCCTAAACAGGATCGTCCCATGTATCGGAGGGAAGATCCTTTTGTGGTTTAGTAAAACTCATTTTTTTTACAGTGAATGGTAGGGTCCGATAGAATGGTCTGTTTTCCGGTGTGGTTAGGAGCAGAAGTCGGCGTTTGTTGTTGCGGATTTCGTCGGAAGTTGTGATGAACGGAACGGAACCGGTCGTCAACGTTCCCAGGCGTCGTGTTCGGTCGGAACGCGACGCTTCCGACGGAGTCGATGCTGAAAAATAGCGGATTTTTACGGAAATGGCGGCCGACGCTTTCTCGGAGGAGCCCGGTTATCGAGAATAACATGGTTTGTGAACTTCCGGTGTGAGGAAGTCGGCGGTGTTTGTAGGAAACTTTATAGGCAGTACCCTGCAATATTGATCGATCGGAAGTGAAGGAAAGTTTGATGGTTCCTTGTGAAGAGTTTGGGAGGATTAGATCGGAAAGTACAGTGTGTGATCCGGTCCAGGTCCGTGCACTGGATATCTGGAGGTTTTTTCCTTTTTTGATGAGCGGAAAAAGGTGGAATACGTTGGAAAGTTTCATGTGTGTTCCCCTTCGGATCCGTTCACAGGAATGGAGGAGAGCAATGGCGTTTCCGGTGCAAGGGAATGACTGGAGCACGTAGGAAATTTCCTCGTGTAGTCCGGCCGGAATCCGGCGGCAAAGAACCGGCGAATATCCGGTGCTATCCAGCTGTTTTCCGAGACGGAACCTGCAGAATTGTATCGATTTCCGATGTTTTCCGTCTCGGTTCCGGCGGTCGGAATGCTCGACCTGGGTTATTTTTCGAATTCAACAACGAATTGATGAAGGAGACAATTTTTGGATTACGACTGAACAAACCCGACGTCATATTGTTAAATGAGCTATTATGAAGATTAGAAGAATTAATTGTGTGTGCATTAATAGATCTCATCCTCGATGTTTCATTCGATTCACAATTATACGCGGTATTCAAGTTATCGTTCGATTTCTCATTCAATTGTTGATTTGATTTGTAGATCGGTCGATTTATTGATTTCTTATAAGAATGGTCGGATTGGAAATTGGTTAGCGAGTTATGGTTATCTGTTGGTGTTACGGTCGATTCGTTATTCAAGCTGATATTCGAATTCCCGACGAATTTAACGGTTGGTTGTCGTTCGGTTGATTTGTTATCGGATGTATCAAAGTGATTTTCGACTGAAACATTCGAATGAAATGTTAGTGATTGAATGTGTTCACGAGTCAATCGAATCTTCAGATTCTCAATGGAATTAGCAAACAATTGTTGCTCTACTGATTTATTAACTGATGTATCGGGGCGATCTTTGATTGATAAGTTCGAACTATTTTACTGACAAATCGATCGATTATTCGATTTACGAATGGTGTTACGAAACATATGTTGGTTTACTTTCAAAAGGATGAGATTGGGCTTTTATTGACAAGTTCAGAGTCTCTGTTGTTTCATTGTTGTTACTCTCATTTGCAATATGTGCTGTAGTGTTAATCTTGAGGAAAAATTTGTTGCAAAACGGAAGGAAAATAAAATAAAATGTTCTGTTGTGTGTCTCATGAAAATTATTTGATGAACTTTGAGGACAAGTGGAATGATGGTAAGTTCCACTGAGAAGAGAACAAAGCCAGGAGGAGGGTACTGATGCGGTTTGTGATTGGATGTCCGGTCATATGGTTTGATTTTCTTTTCGTTCTCTCTGATTCCTTTGTTCATGAATCATTTAACACCTGGTCTTGATAATGAAGGATTAGCCTTCGAAACGTCGACAAAATATTGATATTTATTTGATTATTTATTGTAAATTGAAATTATTTATCAAATAAATTTTTATTTATCTATTTGAAATAAACTTATTCGAAAGAAATGAAAATGAAATTCAAAGCTGCTGTTAATCTAATCAAATATGTTTATTTTATCTTTTGATTATATTCTAATAAAATGTATCGATGTTAGCACATGAATAAAAATGATAATATGATTAGTGTTATACTAATTGTATTTAAAATCCAGTACATAAAATTTAGATTTTCACTAAAGAATCATCAGGCATAAAAGAAAATTTAGAATGATCACGTAAGTTACCCATCGATTGATTTTTCATCGGATGTGCTATTAAATGAGATACAGTTACTTCTTCACGTAAAACAGTAAGTTGATGATGATTCTATTTTATTAATATTCTATATATTTTCTCATTAAATTCAGCGTGGTCTGGTTTCATTGAAATTCATTCAAATGATACAAATCTAGTTCTTTACTTAGGAAACTATTCTTCTTTTCATTGATTCAATTTGAAAACCAACAATCAAGAATAATAGCATTATACCTTTGATAGGAAGAATGATGATATTATATAGATGAAATTCATCTTTACTTATTGGTGAGTTCAAATAAAAGTGCTTTCTTGTTTATTAATTAGGAAGTTTTGAAAACAAAATCGATGTCATTTATAAGGTATATCGTTTTGGATCGATTTGAATGATTTCATCGGAAATGACAGCCGTTGGAAGAGTAGATAGCGTTTTTACAGTTGATGCGGAAATTGGAAAACCCCAAAATTTGAACAGTGGTATAAGATTCTTTTTAACTTGTTGAGAAAATGTTACGATCCAATAGTCAATCTTTTGCTGATCATTAGTTAAATTAGGCTTATTATTTTCATAGTAGCGAAAAACAGCTTTATAATTACTCCAACCAAATTGTTGTGCCAGTTGAGTGTAGATAAGAAGGCCAAGCAGCGGATCCTCTCTCCACTTAACAAAATTTGCTCCATTTTTTATATATTCACGTGCTTTCGACATTTGTTGGTCTGCCCACGCATAAAATCCTGGTCGAACTTGACAGATAGTTTCTAAAGCGTGTAAGACAAAGATATTGTTGGTCACTTCGCGGGTGCCATTAAATGCTAGAAAATAAAGCATTGAAAGAAACAAATACGAGATTGATAACAAATTACTTACTCCACCAATCCCGTTGCATGTTATGACCAAGTTCATGAAACATTGCCCATCTAAGACCGGGAGTCGGTTCAATGGTTTTGTCCTTTAGATAATCAATATTCAACATGAACGCTCTATTACTCGGATTAACCACATCCATCATGGTGACTATTGGGTAACCAGCATCTAAAAAAACCGTCAAGAGATCAAGTATAATGTGATTGACTAAAAGTGAATGTACTTACGCATGCCACCAACAACAGGCTGTATATCGGCAACGACTCGGTCTCGTCGAATTGGCACTGTTCCACGAAGATCATGGTTAGCTAATATGACTGAATCCCAGAAACTAAGTACAATGTCTAACTGCGTATTTGTCATACTCAATACACTGGATGAGGGCATATTAAATGCAATATATAAACTATTAATATCTGCCCATAAACCGTCAGCAGTTTTTCGTTTTTGTTCCCAAGCACAAACACGATATGGATCAGCTAGATTATATGTCGGTGTGAGAACAACATTGTTCAGAGAAACAGTAATAGAACATCCAGAAGCGTCAGGACTTCGAAGAAAAAGAAGTCCACCATAGGATGAACATAGTTGAAGACGTTTTGGTTGTAAAGATCTTCTTAGAAAAATAACTGCCGGTCGTTGTCGATTAGTAATATCCTAAAATTGTTAGAAAAAAACAGATTTGATCGCCATCAACAAGCAGGATATTTACTGATAGGACATCGGTATGACAACCAATTTGAACAGACCATTCAGCACATTCTTGTTTTAATACTTCAATTTCGATGGAATTGTTACCAGCAACATAGTATCCTAATGAAGACATACTTTTGTGAAATGTGCAGTATGAAAATAATTGCAATTCTGTTTAGTTTTAACGAATACGTGTTAATATAACTCTATAATAATTATCTTTTCTGAAAGAAAGGGTTATAGTGTCATAAAACTGGCCGTTGAAATGCAAAAAGTTTTCTTGTTTGCATAATACAATCAGATTGCGGCATTCAGTAAATGAATGAAAACTTAACCATGGGGATTAGCAAATGATTGATGATAGGTTTTCGGGGTCGAGGAACTCGAATCCGAGGTTAGGTTTTTCATGAACACTTTCTGACCCGTTTTTTGCGACAAAGGATCAATTTTTTAGACGATAATGTTTTCAGCGGCAATATGTAGAACAAAATATAACAGCTGACTGATGTCCGATCGCTGGATCTCCATAGTCATCAGCATATTAATGAGATCATACACTATTATAAACAGCTATACTATACGAATATCATCTGATACCAGTCATTCAAAATAATGTTTCGCTTGTCAGATATTGTCTTCGAGAGTCACAGTAGCACAAAGAGGGTGACTTTTAAAGAGGGAATAGAAGAGAATGAACGGATTAGTTTCAAAAGTGGCTGTAGACTAAATGGAAGAGTGAAAATGTACATGTAACGGCTGGCTGCGAGTGGCCGACAAACGACTAAGCGTTATAATTTCAGAAGATTTCAGGAAGCGAAATTGGTCTAGGTAAAATATTCTGAGAAATTATCAAATGATCAGATCGTTCAACTGAAATAACTTTTTTCTCTCGTTGGACGAATAGTAGCACTCTAATACTATCCTTTCAGTAGAGGGTTTAGCGGCTACTAGGCCGCGTTACTTGTTATGTAAAGTTTCAATATCTCGGATGAGAAACCGATCAGTTATGAGCGGATCAACTGTTCGGTGTGAAAATGAAAAACTAATCGTATATGTGCCAACTGCTAGCCGTGAGTGGCCGACCAGAGGGAGGCCGACGAACGACTTGGCGTTTAAATTCCAGATTAATTTTAAAGTGTACACTTGGAATAGCCTTATCAGGCTTCAACCATTTTTGAAAAAGATTTAGCAAATGTATATTCCTCAATGAAAATATTGGAGAAGGCATCATTTTGTTGAAAGCAGAGAAAAGAGTCAATTTTTTGCTAAAAGAGACAGCCTATGTGTAAAATTTTCATGCGAGTAATGTGAAAGCAGAACATTAAATGAAAAGGTGAATGTCTGGTCGTGAGTGGCCGACCGGAGGGAGGTTGACGAGCGACTAGCCATTGAGGGATGGGGTTTTCAGTCAACACAGTTAGTTCTCGAGAATTACTCACTGACAAATGGCTAATCGGATCGGTTCCTGAAAAAGAACAACCTCTGTCTTCTATTCACTCTAGTATGTGACATAGTGGCATGAGGGTGGGTGAGGACTAGTAGCAGTCACAGTGCCTAAGTTGTCTTTCAAAGTGTTTGAATGTGGTCAGCACTGGGACAATTCTTTCAGAAAAGGGTCAGCGAATCCAAAGGATGACCGCTACTTGTATTTAGTTATAAATAATTTTACCGTACGAAAATAGACTTCCTATTGAGGATTCCTCAATAATCTTGTATTGTAGAATTCACTGAGCTACAACTATCATAGATTAAAAAATTTTGATAAGTCTAATTATGTATGCTTGTGAAGCTATAGAACTACTATCTGGAAAATCATTTTTTATTCCTTGTACAAATGATTAGATTTGATATTCCTGTAATATAACTCGAATATAAACTGTTCGTTTCTATGAGGGAAATAGAACAAAGTGAATGACTATTAATTTTCTACTCTCCACTGTAACTATCTTTGCTTTTAAAAATAATCATGACACTTATATTGGTCGAAACCCCTCAATCGTGTTTGACACAAAAGTGTTATTCATGTTGTCTACAACTTTAGTCAATATGTTGGACAAAAGAGAATGTTAATTTTATCATCGATAAGAAGAAAAAGATACATGAAAACTCACCTGTTGAGTACCAGTCACTCATATTTGATTGAACACTATATATAACGTTTGTTTCAAAACGCGGCGGCTTATTAAAAACACCAGGCAACTTGCCGATATCTAGATACAAAATAAAGTCGTAATTAAATCTTTTTGAAATAAAAATTATGCAATTTCGATCAAAAAACCACTTTGTAAATAACTATCTTCTTATATTTTTTGCCTTGGAATAAAATAGTTATCATACGATTGTTTTCGTCTCAACAAGGAATCATTGCCTATATCTTTAAACTTACCCAGACGACGGCCAGCATCGACACCAGCGCCAGCGCGTCCGCCATCACCAACACCGGACTTCAAATAGCAAGCCTTCGAATCGCGACCCCAAATAAAAGCATTACATTTGTTATTTAGTGAACATTGCTGGTTACAATTAGCATAAGAATTCTGATACGTAGCACCAATATCCTCTGAATATAACACCCAATTTTCTGTCTTGGTAAATGTCGAAAAATCAACTAAATAAAATAAAAAAAGATTCGAGTTTATAAAACTTATCATATTTCTTAAATATTATTGCATCCAATGAAAATATTCAAATGTAAAAAATGTTATCCTTTTTTCTGAGTCTTCTTTTTGTTGAATCTTTGAATAAGACTACACTTACTTGTCTCGGTCACTGTAGTCAGACGAACGCCAGTATCGACATCGGCACCTGCTCTTCCACCATCACCGACACTAGATTTCAAATAGCAAGCCTTTGATTGACGACCCCAAATAAAAGCATTGCATTTGTTATTTAGCGAACATTGCTGGCAACAATCAGCATAAGAATTCTGATATGTAGCACCAATATCTTCTGAGTATAACACCCAATTTTCCGTCTTGACAAAGCCCGAACAACCAGCTAAATAAAGTCGAACAAATGCAAATTTACAAATTCCACCACATATTATATATATGAAATTCCACGATTCCTGTACATTTATTACGCAGTGATTATGCTAGATAATGAAGAATTTCCAAATGGACACATATTCTTTTGTTAGAGAAGTTTTGTCATTATCGATAATCTCTCACTCTCACCCTCAAGATCATGCTTACTTGTATTGGTTCCTATATTCAGACGACGACCAGAATCATTATCTTCACTCGAATATCCACCACTATTAATACCAGACTTTAAAAAGCAAGCCTTCGTTAGACGACTCCAACTAAAAGCATTGCATTTGTCATTCTGCGTGCATTGTCGACAACAGTCAGCGTAAGAATTCTGATATGAACCACTAATGTCTTCACCATAATAGTACCAATATTCAGTCTTGAAGAAGCCCGGACAGTCAGCTAAATAAAAATAACCACATAGCAAAATGTATTCTGAGAGGAATGTGACACTACTGCGTAATTTAGCTTTGACAATTTACCAATATTCAGCCCAAAAAAGATTAAGTGATGCGCGCTAATCTTTCGATGAAATACTTACAGTCTACATTGTTGTTTATGCTGTTGCATGTTGCAACACTTTCTTGGGCCGCATTTACTCCATTTGTCGTCAGGAACCTGTAGACAAGGCACAGAATCAATACGATTCTAGAGTAGGCCATTTGAAGTAATTCAGTATCTGGAAAGATGACGCTTATAACTTAACAATCCTAGCTATTCGACATTGTAACTCTGAACTTCAATCTGTGTGTCTCAATACTATGGATATGATAATCCCATCTCAGCTCATAGAATTACAATTATATAATCAGTTCACCGATTCAGCTCTCATGAATTGCTGAGCTTGAGTTGTCACATACCTTCTCAAAGTACTACTAATCGATGGTATTTTAGGAAATACAAAATTTACTAATGGAAGTGTTAATTTCGTTTCCTATCGTTTTCTCAAATGATAAATACGCGAATTATAATGTAGTAAGTGATTTTGATGACATAAATGATGAATAAAATGATGTTCGAGTGTGTGCAGAGTGTAGTAAATACGTACCACCGCGCTCATACTTTCACGATGGATTGTGAAGCTTTTCTCGTTCTGAACGAAAAATTAGGCACTTATTCTCAGGGTTTCAAACAGGTCTCGAGATTTCGAAAAGTCAGAAATAAAGAAAATGTATCGATGTTTACTTCGCAGGGAGATGCGCGCACAATTGATATTTTCTTCCGTTTTCTGGCCGTTTAAATAAGAATCTTTTCTTATTCATAGTATGCTTGAGTTACTTTATCTGAATTTTTTTCCTCTACAGGTAAGCAAAAAGATACACGATTATGATCAATAATAATTACTAATATTTCATTACTCATTACCGATTATAATTATCATTTATTTAAGCGTGGAAAGTTGGAGAAAACTAAATGAGTCGATAGGAAGTAGGTATACACTAAATTACCAATTATGAATAATTTCTATTCAAACATGGGGTGAGGGTGAGGGTGTGGGTGAGGGTATGTATGTATAAGTAAAACTAAATCTATTTCTATTCCTAAGTGTGCTAGGAATTGGTCACTTATATTATAAGTCGAATTAGGCAGCTAATCCTTTGAAGAGTAGTTACTCTTACAGACTTTTTATTTTGAATCACTTGAATAAAAGGAACAAAAATTGATTGTGATAAAAGATCATTTTCCCATGAGAGAATAATTTTTATATCTAGTATTTCACATCGATCTCCACTAAACCCTTTCGGACAAATAGGGGTGAGGGTGTGGGTGAGTTTGAACATAGGATGAGAAGGATTACGAAGTTAGAAAATCTTTTCATTTTGTCTACGAGACAGAAGATTCGAATATGTTCAAAGTACCCACAGCGATATGCTTAGATAAATACGAAAAATTTATCCAAAAGGATCATCAAATCAAAGCAGGACTCGAACCTACATCTTCCGATATCCGGTCGGCTATTTTACCAGTTAAAGTATTTGATTTTCACCTTTGTTAGTTAATAACAACATATCAAAACTAAGAATAGATTCAAGATCTAAAGTTCAGGACGTAAACGATCAAATGATTACCTACATTGTTACGACCTTGTTGCGAATACAGATCTTAGTTCGTTTGTGATGAAGAAATCGAAAATGTAGTAACTCTATTGTTCTGATGATTTTGTATATCTTGTTTAGATATATTTCATTTATCGTGGATTGAGAGTTCTGTTTTGCGGCATTGGAAATTTCTTTTATTATT